GTGTTTGAGTGTGTTTGAGTGTGTGTGCTGTCGAGTGTTCCACCTGTGTGAAGCCACTAACAGAAAAACTGACTCACCTGGTGGCTGGATTAGTAACTACAGGTACAACTGAGGGGTGTAGGAAAAAATATCAATACACTGGAATATCGTTTCATGATGTTCTACTGGATCCATCAGTGTTGATTATTATTTTTTTTTCTCACCAATTCCCAAATGTAGATCCCTCTGTTCCAGTGTTAGGAACTGATGTTCAGATGGAACAGAGTCTGAGACCAGGATCACACTGGGACTACAGAGACACTGGTTAACGGTGTTGAACCAAAAAAAAAGTTGAGAAAAAAAAAAAATACAAACTCAAGTCAATTTCACTGACTTAGCAAAAACAGCCATTTTGTAGAAATAACCGTGTTTATAAATAGAAATAAAGTTCAGTGGAGTTTGTGAAGCAGTAGCTGTGACTGTGGTGATGTGGCGGAGCTGGACCACAGTCAGGGTTATTGAAGGGGGGAGTCAGGGGGGGAGAGAGGAGGGGAGGGGGGAGTTACTGCAGGTTCTAAATTCTCTGACAGTCTCACTCTCTCTCCTGTGTTCTTCTCTCGCCCTCTCTGTGTGTGTGTGTGTGTGTGTGTGTGTGTGCTGCCTTCTGTCTCTTCTTCCCAAATCTGAATACTTGGCGTCCAGCCTCGTCCCTCTCTCTCTCTCTGTGTGACACTGCAGATTAACACATTCTTTCTGTGCAGATATTTTCCACCAAAGCCAGGAAGTCCTTTAAATACTTGATGATATTTTAGGGAGGGGGGATTTTTGCACAACGTCACCACCAGAGCACGCTGCAGGGATAAGAGAAAAAACCCAAACAGACCATGTGATGTTGTGTCATCTACAGTAGAACAGTTTCCAGAGCAGGTCACAGACTCACAGCATCAAACAAACGTCAGCAGGTTCTTAAGATGACGTGGTTTCAGCCACTGATTTTCTGTCTCTGTTTCCCCCCGTCACTCATTTCATTGGTTGTCTCTGTGATTGGTCGACTCCCTGCATCAGGTCACTAACAAACGGCTCCTCAGACGCCTGTAGCTGTGAACTAAAGTCTCAGTGAATATACAGCACGGCTGGTGACAAACTGGAGACAAAAACCAGACATGTTTTTAATCAATACAGTCGTTACATTTTCTCTGTGAAATCAAGTTGAAATTTAGTCGCCAGTTTTTTAAGTGCGTTTATTCCCAGAGACTTTACAGCAGCTACGTTTTAACCTCAGTCTTTAATCTTCTTTAATCTCCTCGTGTCGTACAGGGTTTCACTTGTCATCTCAAAGTTTTTGTTTTTAACTGGGGTTTAGAGAAGAGAGAGAAGATTTGTAAAAAAGCTTGTCTTGTTAGATAGTACTGTAGTAGTACTGTAGTAGTACTAGTAGTACTGTACTGTATTATAAACCAAGGGTGTTTGGCTTCACAAACTGAAATATTTTGGGAAAAAAAAGAAGTGGGAGGAACAAAACTAGAGTAGAAAAAAAAAAAGTTCACTTTTTTTTTTTTTTAGTTTTCTTTCGTGACATCTTTGAGATGACAAGTCCAACTGTGTCCTCACTGGAGTTTCAACAAATTCTACAGCAGTCACAGTCGTTCTGTGGTTGAACAGGAGCCGAGTTTGTTCTTCATGAAGCTCGGTCTCAAACCCTCTCTTCTCATTCCTCAGTAAATCCAGCACCATCATGAGGCCAAAGGTCCCGCCTCCACTTCCTCCCAAGGTACAAACAACTGAAGCCATTCATCAGCTGCACTCAATGAGTTCCTCTTTTTTTTTCTTTTTTTTTCAATGATTTTATAAACCAGAGTTGACTTTTGCCTCCATTTTCTCCCTCAGCCCAAATCCATCTGCTCGTCCGCTCCTCAACAACACAAGCAGGACGACGGCCAATCACACAGCGAGGACGACAGCGGAGGTGGAGGGACCATTAAACGCTGCCCCGCGCCCCAGACGGCGAGCCCGGCCAGGCCCTCCACCAGTGTCCCCCCACGGCCCCCGCCCCCAAAGCTGCCGCCCCACCGCCGCAGCAGCTTAGGTAACGACAGCCCGAAGCACGCGGACACGGAAAACTGCGCAGCTCCAGAGGAGGATGATGGGAGTTTTAGACATTTCTGGGAGTGGCTCCACACGCCTCACACAGAGGAGGAGCTGGAGGAGGCGTGGGAGGTGCTGAAGGAGGTGAAAGAGGAGCAGGAAAAAAAGGAGGAAAAGGAAGCCAGTAAGAGCAGCCGATGGTTAGACGGTTTAGCGTCCGCAGACCCCCGTCACCCCCCC